ACATGATTTGCTTCGTCTTTTTCGTTTGTACAAATGCAGCCATTTTTATATCAAAACAGAGAGTAGGGGAGGAGAGCGAGTTAATAGTGTTATTAATGGAGCGGGGGGGGGGGGGGGGGCATGCAGAGCTGGCTGAAGAGATGTGGGAATAAAATAAAAAATAATGCCAGGAGAGTGAGTCACACAGGACACCATGAACAGGTAGCAGAGGATGAGGGGGCGCTGGCAGAGTGGAGGGAGGGGGGCAGTCACTGCTAGGATGGACAAATTAAAGCGTCAGCATTGGAAAGGGACCCCAGACACGTTACGGCCCCCACGTCTTCTCCAGCGGCAGCACTTCTCCTCGCTTTGCTTTTGAAACAGTTTAAGTTGTTCTTGTATAACAGCATGAGCAGGAGGGGGGCCTTAAAGAGTTGTCACATCTACTCTATACACTGAGTGTGTGTTGGGGGGTGGGGTGGGGGGTGTTACAGTAAAAATGGCTTGGGTCCCTTTAAAAGAACATTAATTGTGTTAATAATGTGTGAAATGTCCTAGTTATTGTCATAAGTCCACGTTATTGTGTTTGAAGGCATTCATTGATAGCGAACAGGAAACAACTGGCCCCTCTTTGGGCTCTTCATCCATCGTGTGGGGGGGCGTAAGGAAAGCCTCTCACAGAAGAGCTCAGAGCAGCTGCAGCAGGTAGAAATGAGTTCATAAGCCCCCCATCCTACAAGCTCTAAAAAGGTTTCATTAAACACTTTATTCAGTCAGGTCTCTGAAGCCTCGTTGATTATTCATGCAGGTGTTTGAAGCAGGAAGTGACTCACTGCTGCCCCCGCGTGGCTCAAAGGGGTTCACACCCAGGAAACACCTCCAGTCAACCACAGAAGGTCCCAGTAATACAAACCAAGCTACAGATCATTTTCACGGTCACTGCTGTAAAGACTTTGACAGAAAGCACATCCTAGTTCATCCTTCATAAACACGTGGTGAGGACACCAACAGGAAGTGATTCAGGTGTTACAGGAAGTGATTCAGGTGTTACAGGAAGTGATTCAGGTGTTACAGGAAGTGTTTCTCACAGCTGTCGTGGTTCTGTTTGTTTGGGACTGGGACAGAATTGTGGTTTAGACTTCCATCAAGTGGTCCTCTTTCTGTTATCCAGATGTTTTTGCTGCGTCATGACGACACGTTTAAATCTTACTCCTTTAAGTGTTTTAGTTTGTGTATCTTTTCACAGCCATATTTTTGATTATAGCCTCAGACATGTTTGCGTTTCTTGGCAGAAGGCACAACAAAACGAACCTATTTAATTTATTTTTCTGTCACTATTGTGCAGTTTGGTCATTATGCACACATCCATTCATTTTGATTTAAAGTTGATCTTACCTTAAGCAGCTAGTCAAAGATCCTTTAATCAAATCTGACAAAAATACAAAACCTAAATGCAGGGGTTGGCAACTTATTTAAAATTATTATTATTAGACCTTTATTTATACAGGTTAGTTCCCATTGAGCCTCGAAGGCTCATTTACAAGAGAGACCTGTTACATACAGATACTTTTAGAAGTAGGAGACATTTTTACACCTTCTCTCACTAAATAGTTTGTCCAAAGCACCAAAACCTCCTTAAAGATTGAAATAACATAAAATAATTTATTAATAAGTTGTACTGCATGTATGTATGTACAGACAACTGAAAGAACAGTTCATTTCAGAATGAAACGAAACAACTATATTGTTGACATCAGGTTTTTCATGTTAGGGGGAAGAAGAAGGAAAAAATTCACAGAAAAATTTAAATCCTAAACTTTGTCGCACTTTGAGTCCTTCATTTGTGAAAAAGAACTGTAAACATTTTCACTTTAATAGATTAAGGCTTCCCGACTTCCTTCATTTACTTCCATTATTATTAATTTGTTTTTGAAAGGCAAGTTTTTTCATATTCTTATTGAGCTTTGGATGGATTCATAGCTGCAGCTCTTTAGTGCATGTGTGCAGAACTACACCGTGTCTTAAGCAAAGCAAGACCAAGTTTGTGTCTGCTCCTTCACCGTTCACCTTGAAAGATCAACTAGGAAACAGAGCTACAATAGATAATGTAAAAAAACAAGTTTAAAGCTTTAAGAAACTGATTTGAACCGTTCAGTCAAGCGATTCCTGTGGTTGGTGTTATTGAACGCCTCAGCTGTGGTGGGTGATTTTCCTCCAGGGGCCACACGGAGCAGTAAGAACCAACAATGACACCTTCTGAACATGGAGTCTCTCAGAGGAGAAAGCTTTGAGGAAAAGGACCAACTTTTCGTTTAGATAAACGCACGTGAGTTCATCTGCGCACAGCTCTTCTGTGAGTTTTCCACACGGTGGATGAAGCTGCTCTAAGCGGGGCTGGACGACTACGAGGAACACAAAATGTGATGAAAAGTAAGAGAGCTGTTCCACACAACGTTTCCTACATCACACAACGGCAGCAGGAGCAACCAAACGTCACTGAGATCCAGGATGTGTCACACACGAGCGTCCTCCTGCACCGCTTCAGAGTCCAACATGTGAAATAGTTTAGTGTTTGGATGTTGAACAACGAGGCCAGATTACGTGCTCCTCTTGTACCACATCCACACTGAGCAGCTCGGTTGTACTTTTTCAACAATAAGCGCTTGAAGTAGAAACAAATACTCAGGAACAGAGTAGAAACCGCCACCTGGGGACATCATGCACATTGAAATGTAAAGCAGAAAAGAGGAGCGCGTGTTTAACCACTTGTGATTGTGCAGGAGCTGTTGGATGCCTGGAAGAGAAGAGGGTCTATCTCTGAGCAGAGCGTGTGCTTCAGGTAAAAAAAAGACAACTGTATTGACAAGAAAAAACAAACTAGGACACGTACCCAGTTAACCTACTTGATCCAGTTCCAAAGCATTTGAGTGCTTTTTATATAAACAAGACAAAAACATTTGGGCATTTATTAATGGGGAAAATACAACGTAAACTGAAAAGAAAACAAAAAAAAGATGAATGAAATAAGCAAGGAGGAGAAGAAAGGGGTTAGACGAGACCTCAGACACATGCAAAGTGGAGTGGGACAAAAAGCGAGGCCCGCTGCAGGAGCGGGTGTTTGTAGCCCAGTTTAGAGGCGAACTCATCAGAGAACGTTGCTTTCACAAGTGATCTCCTGCAGAAGATGCCTTCGGCTCATTTGAGCATCACCCGTCAGCTCTGACCATCCATTTACAGCAAGTCTGTAAAACACAGCCGTTCGCGGCTCATCGCGTGTTTTCGAGCCCAACACGAGCCTCGTGTTGTAAACAAACAAGGTGCGGCTCTGACCTGGACAGGTAGACAGAACCACAAGCCTGATTTATGGAGCTTTCTGTTTTAGGAGCCCTTGGGACAAAGCTGCTCCAGAAACCATAAAAAAACTTTATAAAGTTATTTTTATCATTTCTGCATTTACTGTGTCATATTTGAGTCGAGAGGACAAATAAATATGAAGTTCATTGAGCAACACTATCGTTATTCGTAATAATTTTCAACACACACGGATGTGATTAGTTAGAGAGCAATTTACATTTAGACAAACTTGATGCATTTCCTTGAAATTTCATTTTAATATGAAAACAAAAACACAAATCAGTACTTTATTTTTTGACCTGCAATTAAAATATTTTTAATAAAAAAACAGCCCTGCGCCTTCGTTCAACAATCTTACATTTGCTTTGTATCTCTTGTCATTTAATAAAGAGTTAAGGATGCTTCAAATTTAGACGTTCATGCTACTTTTCACAGTTCCCAGCCAGGAGTTGAACTCGCAACCCTGTTGGGAGCTCAGACAAACCTCAGTAGAAACTTTAACAGTTGGATCCGGTCACAGGAAGTTGGGCTTTACCTGACTGAACTGGCATTTTGACATCGTCCACAGTTTTTACACAATTCCAGTTCACATTTGATGGTTTTTGACCATTTAATCATGGGATGTTCAACTCAGTGTGGTGACGCCAC